TCTGGCGGCCCAAGGTTGGGGACCACTGGCCTAAGGCACTGAGCTAGGCCAGCAATCACTGCTTAAGCAGACTGCAATACACACTGTCTCTTTGATTCAAAGATTTGGAGGCTCCTCAATGAACGTTCAGTGTTCTCCTGCAAGAAAGACGTGCCCAATTCATTTCCAGAGTCGGTAGCTCAGGAGATGCAGCAGAATACACATAGCAAACTTCTAAAGCAAGCGAGAGAGCCTCTGCCCACTGCAGGTGGTTCACAAGTACATTATAACAACAATAGGCAAGGAGAACCAAATAAATTCCACCAAGGGACTTTTGTGAAACCGGGATACTGCACTGTGCAAGGTTCCCTGTAGGAGGCTGTAGACTCTGGTTTAGACAGGATGTGGCTGTTTTTTCACAGCATCTGAAGCCATGAGATACATCTGTGGCCTCATCTTTCACAACCGAACCTCAGTCTAGACGACGAGAACAGGGAACTTTTCTCTTAGCCAAAATGCCACCATCTGGAGTGCAGGCTGATGGGATGTTTATGTCTTTTCATTACAGATGAGGATTTGTAGACCCCATGTCCGCAGAAACAAGGCTTGAAAGCCAGGAACTCACCCTTCAGAAGAATCAGAACACATTAAGAATGAAGCAGAAATTTGCCTTTTTCCACCTCCTTTGATTTCTGACTCCCACTGCATGTGTTTCTCTTAGACACCAACAAAGTACAATCCTCATTTTTGAGAGTTAACGGTTTCTGGACACTACAGCACAACAGCTGCCGTTCTGAAAAATGGCATCTACATTAAATCTAATTAACATGATTTGTGTACTAATTATAGCTCTAAAAGTCATCATTATATGGTCGCATTATAAGGGGCAACCCAGACTCAGAGCGGATTTAACTTAAATCAAATTGAATTTAAATCAAATAATCATGATTTACACTTTTAAAAAATCAGATTTTTGACAATTTAAATAAAAAAATCTAATTTTTATTTAAATCAATTTAATTTTGCAAAATAATCATTAATTTTTATCCAACCTGCTCAGACTGTACTCTTTACCACCCTTTTTCTGGCTCACAGCTCATTTTTGATCTTACAAACATACGTCACTTCATGACGACTCAACAGTGGTGTTGCAACTGTGAATTTGGATCCAGATTTACTTGTAAATAGACAAGACCAAATGCTGTTGGTCTGTTTCAAATGCTACCAGAATCAGAATGTTCTTTCCTCCTCTTGCAGCTCTCCAAAGTACCAAAAAAAACTTTTTAAGCCCCATTAAGCAAGTTTTTAAAGGGCTACAGAGGAGTGAAAGACCGCTGGTCCCATCAGATTTAAGATTCTGCAGAAACATACCACTGGATCCTGGCCACAGAAGACATGGAACTAAACTCAATGATGACTAATGTAAATGTCATGGATTTCGGTGGGCTACTTCACATGTGACTAAATTTGGATCCTACCTATGGTCTGCACCCATCCACCTTTGACTAACAATAGTGGGCCAACTAAGACACATACCACAAAATCTCGTTTTTATTCTATTACTGGTGAAGAGGGCTGGCTGGAGAGCTCAGTAGTTTAGGTATTTGGCTGTGGAGCCCAGAGGCTGGGAGTTCAAATCCCCACTGTGCCTCTTTTGAGTAAAACCAGTCTGTGTGACCTCAGGCCATCTGCAGAGTCTCAGAAGAGAATGGCAAATCACTTCTTTATATGTTCTAACCTTGAAAACCCTGAAAAGGGTCACCATAAGTCAGAATTGTCTTGATGTCACACTTGACACCAGCATGTGATGGCAGACACACTAGTAAAAGACAGTGAAACTTGCCTCCCATTGTTTGACGCAGCCCCCTTTCAGAGGTTTGCATTACTTGATACAGTAAACATGTCATGACAAGAGATAGTTTCTTCGTAGGACTTTTAAATGAGGCAAACTCAAGCTATTTCTTACAAATCCTGCTGAGTGGGCAGTTTGCATGCATTCATATCAGCGAAGGCCAACCCCACTGTTTGGGGATCATCACAACACCTCCAGAGTCATCCGCCAACTATCTGCCAGACAATTTTTCCCACTTCAAAAAAAATTTGTACTTGCATCTGGAGGCCCGAACAAAAGTTATTTATACAGGAAAGCTCTTGATATTCTTTGGTGCAGAAAATGTACTGATGCATTCAAACTGATCTTCCAAACACCAAATGATCCCATGACAAAAGATTCTGCACAACTCAAAAAAACTTGTACCACTTCAAATGACACCCCTCATTCTATGTCCTTATCCTGAAAGATTGGTACAGCTACAGACATTAGATATGTGTAAATAGTCAAACGTTAACATTATCCACGTTACAGCTACAGACATTAGATATGCCAAAAAGTATCACGTGTAAATAGTCAAACGTTAACATTATCCAAGATGACTTTTTAAAACTATGCTTATTACTATTAGGGAAATCAAGCGTTCCTGATGTGAATGTAACCAACATCAGACAATCCACAGAAAAATCATTTTTAAAAAAAATCAGAAAAATCGGTTTTTGAAAACTTGTGCATGCATACGTATTTGCAACATAGTCCATTATGTTTCAGAACAGGACACAAAACAGCTGGTAAGTTCTGTCCCAATACCTAAGTGTTAGGAAATACCAGGACTGGAAACCTCTTGCCACCAGAACAATGTTTTAAACAATCAAACAGCTAAGACTTTTCCAGCCTAGTATGCAATACTAGAAGGATTAAGATTCAATAATTATTAACTTTTATTTAAATTTAAATTACTTGACTTTTGATACTTAAAAAAAAAAAGAGCGTATTGGTCAGTGGACTGAAAAGAATTAGAATAAAGAGCTATGTAAGCAGAATGACCAAGGGGTGAGCATTTAAATTTGTGCTCGGTCACAGAAAATCACACAATTCCTTTGCAGTAGCATGAAAACACCAGAAGTCTTTGACACATAGGTTTTGTAAGAGTGAATGATCTGGGTTCTGCCAAGCACATTAATAATGTAACAGTGACAACCTAGGAAAACTCCCAGTTGATCCCACCCATCTTTCAAGTTTACAAAGTTTAAAGCTACACTGGAAAAAAAAAAAACAGCAAAATTTAGATGAGGACTGAGAGAAATGTATTCTTAGGAAAAAAAGGAAGGTGATAAAAATATTTTAGGCTCCCTGGAAATTTTATTTCAAAATCTGCATTCTTAACAATTACCTTTACATTAAATATAATTGGCACTAGTATTTTACTTTATTATTTTACAAACTGCAGGATAACTCAGTGTCTGGCTGTGGAGTCTGAGATTGGGAGTTTGATTCTCCACTGGGCCTACCTGACAGAGACTTTACTCTTCAGACAAGGTTTTCCTTAGTGACTGGCTCTCTGAAAGTGTTATTTAAATCACTGGTTCTTAACCTTTGTTACTCAGGTGTTTTTGGACTGCAACTCCCAGAAGCCTTCACCATCAGCTGTACTGGCTGGGGTTTCTGGGAGTTGCAGTTCAAAAACACCTGAGTAACAAAGGTTAAGAACCACTGATTTAAATGAACTGTTCTACTTTACCTTACTGCTTTGAATGTGTTTTAGTTGTTGCCTTTGTTTACTGTATTTTTAGTATGGTATTTGTTTGATGCCTTTGAGTATTTTTAATGCTCACTGTTGCTAGCTTTAAATACTGTATTTTAGTGACGTAATCCACCTCGGGTCATTTTAAGGAAAAAGGCATGGTAAAAATATTTGAAATAAAAAAATTAAACATGGTGTCAAGTCCCTCTTGGAAGGAGGAGCCCTGTGCCCAAATGTTCTGACAAGAATGAAATTTTCATTAGGAACTTGCCAGATGCTTTTCCTACTGTAGGAGAACTTTAATGCTACCTGTTATCTGATGTATAAAGTGAGCATTGGTATTATTTCATGTAAACAAAGGCCAGATACGTTTCAGACATGTGCTCTGTGAAGGAGTTTGTTTTCTGAACACTTCCACTCTGCTTTTCTGAAGATAATCAGGTAATGACATTGACACAATAATAAAATACACCAATGTATCTTTTTCACATGAGAGCACCTCTTTCTTAAGTTACTAAGACAGTATTTAGAGCTAACAACTGTGATACACAAAGGCATCAAATAACATAATAAAAAAACAATAAACAAAAGCAACACTAAAACACATCAAAAGCAGTAAGGCAAGGTACAACAATCCATTTTAAAAAAAAACACATTCATGCAACCAGCCACTAAGAAACAGCTTGCCTGAAGAGAAAAGTCTTTATCTGCTTATGGAAGGACAGTAAAGAATAATGATATCTTATCTTGGAACTGCAGAGCTGGAAAGGATCTTACCAAGTCCAGTCTCTGTCAAGGAGGCCCAATGGAGAATCAAACTCACAAGCCCTGACTCTACAGCCAGACAATTAAACCACTGAGCTATCCAGCAGTTTGTGAAATAACAAAGTAAAATAATAGTGCCAATCATATTTAATTGAAAGGCAATTTTAAAGTCCAACAGTCTGAAGCTCATGTATATTAGGAAGTACCGTGTCCTGTGGGCACCTTCCCGTTTTCTCAGGTCAACTACACCAGACTCATTCCAGAGGACCAACAACAGAAGTGAAATCTCTGAGGGCAGCAAACAGAACCGTTTTTAATTACAGCACATAAACTATGGACCCAGAGAGATACAAACTTACATCCTTCTCAAATTTAACTCTGTTAAAGATTTCCCTGTTTTTAAGAGCTTTCCCAGTCTGTCGGTTTGTTGTTTCTTGGCTAGCTGTTGAATTAGCTTTTGGATGTTTATTCTATTGGTTTGTGCATATATCTTTTATCACAGAACACTTTGAAGTGGTTGAAGAAATGACTGGGGAAGGAACAAATGGAAATATAGTCAGCTCTCATAGTCCAAATAAATAACTAAGACTAAATAAAGACTAAGCCTGAACCAACGTAACTCATCCTCAAGAAAAGGCTGCTGGTTTTGTTTTGTTTTGATGGGAGTTCAGGCTTACTTACCATGTCGCCAAGGATCTTTGGGTTCCACAGCACCAGACACAATATCTTCGTCAGAAGGAAACGTGACATGTTTCGCCCCAGGCTTGAGCTTCCCATCTTCAGCTGACGGAGAACCTTGGCTGGGTTGGTCCGGATTCTCCCCACCTGCTGTATCTAAGCCTAAAGAACATTTTTGAGACAGGGAGTCCGCATTTTCTTGCAAACTCCCATTTTGCTGGGCAGATTTCTCAGTGTCCCTAAGGCATTCTTGGATAGCTGCACCAGACTCCGTGGCTGAGGAAGAGTTATGACAGGACACCTCATTTGCCCATGGCTCTTCCTGCAGTGGGTGGCTCAAAGGCTGCAACTCCTCTGACCCCTCAGAACCCACAGTTTCCTCCGAATTCTCCTTTGAAGAACATGCTGTACATCGGTCCACCATCTTTGTGCTAGAGTGATCCCTGAGTGCAGCAGGGTTGGGCTGGGACTGAAAGTTCTCTGTGCTTTCAACATGTTCTAAAATAGTCGGAGCATCCTCAAGTTTCAGACCAGCTTGGCTGTCTTCTGACTGGGAGGCAACCCAGAGATCAGAGTCTCCCAGTGTACTTTCCTCTTCCTTCTGTAAAGTGGGAGAAGGTGGCAGGAGCAGCAGGAGACGGTCCCCCTCAGTCGGATTTCCCTGCTGTTGCTGCTGCATGGGAGGAACCTGCACACACTCCATGGCCAGGCAAGCAAGGCAGCTATCTGTCGGAGGGGGAACTCCTTCTTCACTTTTCATGGACCCTCTGCAGTCATTACTTAAGAGGTGCTAAAGCTCCACACCATTGACTTTTTTCTAGCCTGGAGGGGGAACGGCTGTCAAGGTTACCAGGCTCCTTCTGCCCCACAAGGATGAAAGGACACCAGCCAGTTGATGGGCCAAAAAGGGTTCCTACGTGGACCATGAATAAAGAATGACATTCACAAGGGCCAATGGATGGGAAAGGGACCCTATTTTTGAAGGGATGAAAACCTCCACTTAGGGTTGGAGGGAAGATACTGCTATGTGGGCAAGAGAGTAATGGGCTTGCTCTAATTGGGGCAGTTTCTGAAAAGAAAAGAAATTTGGCAGCAGAAAAAAAACCCTCTTCCCCTCCAGAAAAGGAGAAACTGTCCCTCACTTGCAGTTTTTCCAAGTAAAAGTAGGCAGCGGAAGTGATGTGCAAGAAGAAAATTGATTAGCATTAACACCTGCGAAATAAACAGGGTTTGCTATTAAGAAGAATAAAATGAGGCAGACATTTATTCCTGGGGCTCTGGAAGGGAAACATATACAGTAAACTCCTTTTTTAAAGCCAGAGCATCTCTGCAGGGGGAGGGAGTCCTCTTTGCATGTAGGAAAGGGCGATTAAAACCTATGCATGAACAGAAACACCTGGAAAGCAGGTGAGAATCAGAAAAAAGACTAAGGGAACTCCAATAGCATCAACTTTGGTGCTGAAAAGAGAAATATGCCCACCGAACTGGGGCGGAATTAATACCTGCCAGGGAGGTGAGACATAAAACTGCAGCTGATGTCCACTCTATATAAGTGGATAGGGTGGGGTGGGGAGAGCGAAAGAAAGGCAGGCTCTTCTTTGATGAGGGAGGGGAGAGAAGCTTAAAAACAACGCTGAGGTACTGGTAGGAGGGACGGGGAGCCTAAAAAACAGGATTTGGAGTGGAAGGTTTTTAATCCTATAGACAAATAACAATAATAAAAAAGGAAACCCTTCCCCCTGGTTCACTTTTTCGCCTCAGGTTTCCCCCTCCCTCCTTGGGGGTGAGCTAAGGAGGAAGGAAAATGGGGGGTGAGACAAGGGGTTGGGGGGGCTCAGGAGAGAAAAGAAGGCCCCCCCCGGGAAGGGTCAAAGGAGGGAGGGGAAG